ATCACCAGGTACACACACTGAGTACACACTGTAACACACTGAATACACACTGTAACACACACAGTAACACACTGAGTACACACTGAATACACACAGTAACACACTGAATACACACTGAACACACACAGTAACACACTGAGTACACACTGAATACACACTGAGTACACACTGAATACACACTGTAACACACTGAATACACACTGTAACACACTGAATACACACTGTAACACACTGAGTACACACTGAATACACACTGCAACACACTGAATACACACTGTAACACACTGAATACACACTAAATACACACTAAATACACACTGTAACACACTGAATACACACTGAATACAAACTGAATACACACTGTACCACACTGAATACACACTGAATACACACTGTAATACACACTGTAATACACTAAATACACAATGTAACACACTGAATACACACGGTAACACACTGAATACACACTGTAACACACTGAATACACAGGGTACACACACTGAATACACACTGTAACACACAGAGGCTTGAGGAGGAGCTCCGGAATCACCAGGTACACACACTGAGTACACACTGAATACACACTGAATACACACTGTAACACACTGAATACACACTGTAACACACTGAATACACAGGGTACACACACTAAATACACACTGTAACACACAGAGGCTGGAGCAGGAGCTCCGGAATCACCAGGTACACACACTGAGTACACACTGTAACACACTGAATACACAGGGTACACACACTGAATACACAGGGTACACACACAGAGGCTGGAGGAGGAGCTCCGGAATCACCAGGTACACACACTGAGTACACACTGAACACACACAGTATATACACTGAATACACACTGAACACACACAGTAAAACACTAACATACTGTAACACACACTGAATTCACACAGTAATATTAACAGTAAAAAATTATATTTATATATACAGTATATATATCAACATATTTTACATGTTGTATAAGCTGCAGTGTGAGGACGGTGGTTTCTGTGTGTCTCTGCAGGCCTGGTTCTCGGAGGCTGACAGCAGACTGTCTGAGAACGGCAGCCGGAGACAGAGCGGAGGTTGTGGGTCAAATTCCCAGGTGACAACGCCGGGCAGCAGCAGCCTGAAGCAGCTGGACAACCGCAGTCCAGCCAGCAGAGAGAGGTACTGACCATCTGTGGTAGAGAGAGGTACTGACCATCTGTGGTAGAGAGAGGTACTGACCATCTGTGGTAGAGAGAAGTACTGACCATCTGTGGTAGAGAGAAGTACTGACCATCTACCACAGAGGTACTGACCATCTATGGTAGAGAGAGGTACTGACCATCTACCACAGAGGTACTGACCATCTGTGGTAGAGAGAAGTACTGACCATCTGTGGTAGAGAGAGGTACTGACCATCTGTGGTAGAGAGAAGTACTGACCATCTGTGGTAGAGAGAGGTACTGACCATCTGTGGTAGAGAGAGGTACTGACCATCTACCACAGAGGTACTGACCATCTGTGGTAGAGAGAAGTACTGACCATCTGTGGTAGAGAGAGGTACTGACCATCTGTGGTAGAGAGAGGTACTGACCATCTGTGGTAGAGAGAAGTACTGACCATCTACCACAGAGGTACTGACCATCTATGGTAGAGAGAGGTACTGACCATCTGTGGTAGAGAGAGGTACTGACCATCTACCACAGAGGTACTGACCATCTGTGGTAGAGAGAGGTACTGACCATCTACCACAGAGGTACTGACCATCTGTGGTAGAGAGAAGTACTGACCATCTGTGGTAGAGAGAGGTACTGACCATCTACCACAGAGGTACTGACCATCTGTGGTAGAGAGAAGTACTGACCATCTGTGGTAGAGAGAGGTACTGACCATCTATGGTAGAGAGAGGTACTGACCATCTGTGGTAGAGAGAAGTACTGACCATCTACCACAGAGGTACTGACCATCTGTGGTAGAGAGAGGTACTGACCATCTGTGGTAGAGAGAGGTACTGACCATCTACCACAGAGGTACTGACCATCTGTGGTAGAGAGAAGTACTGACCATCTGTGGTAGAGAGAGGTACTGACCATCTGTGGTAGAGAGAGGTACTGACCATCTGTGGTAGAGAGAAGTACTGACCATCTACCACAGAGGTACTGACCATCTGTGGTAGAGAGAGGTACTGACCATCTGTGGTAGAGAGAGGTACTGACCATCTACCACAGAGGTACTGACCATCTGTGGTAGAGAGAGGTACTGACCATCTGTGGTAGAGAGAGGTACTGACCATCTACCACAGAGGTACTGACCATCTGTGGTAGAGAGAGGTACTGACCATCTGTGGTAGAGAGAGGGACTGACCATCTGTGGTAGAGAGAAGTACTGACCATCTGTGGTAGAGAGAAGTACTGACCATCTGTGGTAGAGAGAGGTACTGACCATCTACCACAGAGGTACTGACCATCTGTGGTAGAGAGAAGTACTGACCATCTACCACAGAGGTACTGACCATCTGTGGTAGAGAGAGGTACTGACCATCTACCACAGAGGTACTGACCATCTGTGGTAGAGAGAGGTACTGACCATCTACCACAGAGGTACTGACCATCTGTGGTAGAGAGAAGTACTGACCATCTGTGGTAGAGAGAAGTACTGACCATCTGTGGTTACCCGATATCAGAGGTGGTGCTAGACTTTTTCGCTGCCCGTCATTTTGACGGGCAGGATCGTAACATTTCCGTCAAAATCCATTATTACCCGTCGGTCTACTCTGTACACAACTCTGACGGGGGGGGGCGGAGAGCGAGAGAGAGAGCACGCCTGTGAACTGTCAACGGAGGGAGGGGGGGGGGGTACGCACGCTCGTGAACTGCGGGCATGCATAACACGGCATAACACCGGAGCCTCGCTGCGGGGAAGCTTTGGCGCTGTTCCCAGTTTGTTCTAATCTGACTGCTTTCAGATGTTTCCGTCATTGTTTACAAAAATCCGTCATAGACTGAAAATATTCGGTTAATGCGACCTCTGCCCGATATGTAGCGCAAGTTGTCCGACATGTTGGACAGCTATATACGGCAACCCAAACAGGACATTTGATGTTTGTAATCAAAAGTGCATCGTTATCTGACCCTTGCAGAGAAACTCCAAAGCTGGGAAAGACCTTCGAGATTTAGCACTAATTGTTATATAAGAAAAATACTGATCTAATAACAGAGTTTAGTTCTTGAATCAACTTTTTTATTTGATGTCAGTTCCATTTTCCAGGAATGTCAATGCAGTCCAGTTGTCCCCAACCACTGGTCCACAGACTGGTACTGGTCCGGTGGCCATTTGATACCGGGCCGAACAGAAAGATTGAATAAATAATGAAAGATGTTATATTTAAGTGGGAAGATACATCTGTCTCAGTCATGTGATGCTTCATAAAGGAAGCTAGCAGCAGGTGGCCTTAAAGTGTGTTTCAGACAACCCTCTGCAGGACAGGGGATCCTGAGGTCGCCAGGAAGGAAAACCCTGCTTACATTCCCAACGTGGACTGGACATAAGAGACACACTCCAGGTGTCATTGTCTCCATTAGCCCTAGATTGGACCAGCTCGTTGCAGAACCTCAAGCTCAGGGCTCCCACACCTTCTGCACTTCATATTTGTTTTTATGCCGGTCATATAATTTTATTTTGTCATATTTATCCCCCGACCGCTTGAAGGCCGGCCCGTGAAAATATTGTCTAACATGAAACCGGTCCATGGCCCAAAAAAAGTTTAAAATCTTAAAGTGTTTGTTTCTCTGTTCTCAGTCCGGACGGCAGCTACACTGAAGACAACAGCGCTGAGCTTCACTTCAAGTCCCGCAGCTCCGAGTTCGATGATGACTTCGATGATGAAGAACCATTACCGAGCATCGGCACCTGCAAGTCCCTCTACCCGTTTCAAGGTACAGTAGATCAGAACTAGCCTCAGTACAGGAGCTGTGCAGGTACACAGTGAGGTCTCCTGTCTGCAGGGTCAGGAGACCACTGATGCCCCGGTAGGGTACAGGACTTTTATTCTGAGACCCAAGAGTGAGTCAGGACATGTCGTCTGGAACCCAAAAAAAAGTCAGAGAGAGAGAAACGAGAAAAGTTAGGGACAGAAGACGACCCAGGTCATTAACACACTGTACCCGGGTCATTAACACACTGTACCCGGGTCATTAACACACTGTACCCGGGTCATTAACACACTGTACCCGGGTCATTAATACACTGTGCCCGGGTCATTAACACACACTACCCGGGTCATTAACACACACTACCCGGGTCATTAACACACTGTACCCGGGTCATTAACACACTGTACCCGGGCCATTAACACACACTACCCGGGTCATTAACACACTGTACCCGGGTCATTAACACACTGTACCCGGGTCATTAACACACACTACCCGGGTGATTACACACCCCGGGTGATTAACACAACACTGTACCCGGGTCATTAAACACACTGTACCCCTGGTCATTAACACACTGTACCCGGGTCATTAACACACTGTACCCGGGTCATTAACACACATTACCCGGGTCATTAACACACTGTACCCGGGTCATTAACACACTGTACCCGGGTCATTAACACACTGTACCCGGGTCATTAATACACTGTGCCCGGGTCATTAACACACACTACCCGGGTCATTAACACCCACTACCCGGGTCATTAACACCTGTACCCGGGTCATTAACACACTGTACCCGGGTCATTAACACACACTACCCGGGTCATTAACACACTGTACCCGGGTCATTAACACACTGTACCCGGGTCATTAACACACTGTACCCGGGTCATTAACACACACTACCCGGGTGATTAACACACTGTACCCGGGTCATTAACACACTGTACCTGGGTCATTAACACACACTACCCGGGTGATTAACACACTGTACCCGGGTCATTAACACACTGTACCCGGGTCATTAACACACTGTACCCGGGTCATTAATACACTGTGCCCGGGTCATTAACACACACTACCCGGGTCATTAACACACACTACCCGGGTCATTAACACACTGTACCCGGGTCATTAACACACTGTACCCGGGTCATTAACACACTACCCGGGTCATTAACACACTGTACCCGGGTCATTAACACACTGTACCCGGGTCATTAACACACTGTACCCGGGTCATTAACACACACTACCCGGGTCATTAACACACTGTACCCGGGTCATTAACACACTGTACCCGGGTCATTAACACACACTACCCGGGTCATTAACACACTGTACCCGGGTCATTAACACACTGTACCCGGGTCATTAACACACTGTACCCGGGTCATTAACACACACTACCCGGGTCATTAACACACTGTACCCGGGTCATTAACACACTGTACCCGGGTCATTAACACACTGTACCCGGGTCATTAACACACTGTACCCGGGTCATTAAACACACTGTACCCGGGTCATTAACACACTGTACCCGGGTCATTAACACACACTACCCGGGTCATTAACACACTGTACCCGGGTCATTAACACACTGTACCCTGGGTCATTAACACACTGTACCCGGGTCATTAAACACACTGTACCCGGGTCATTAACACACTGTACCCGGGTCATTAAACACACTATACCTGGGTCATGTCGTGTCTGTATTCATGCTGTGATTGATCTGCTGCAGGTCAGAATGAAGGCACTCTGTCGATGGTTGAGGGGGAACTACTTTCTGTTGTGGAAGAAGACAAAGGTGACGGCTGGACAAGAGTACGGAGGAACCTGGAGGAGGAGGGATATGTCCCCACCTCCTACATCAAAGTCTTCCTGGAAAGCAGCGCCAAAGGTGCCATGACATACATATGACCTTAATACCACCTTAATATGACCTGTATTACCTTAATATGACCTTAATATGACCCCTACGTGACCTATACATGAACCTGAAACCTTAAAAGGACCTCTACATGACCTCTGAATGTCATCACGTCTATTGCCATGGTTACAGCAGCAGCCCTTCTGGTAACGCCTCTCACAGTTAAGCCCCACCCACACCGTCAGTGTCAGACAGAGGCAGACAATAATTTCAAGCAGATGGCGGGACTTCCTGTTCTACTGCTGGTACATGAGGCAGGCGTTTAATTAATTAATTAAGATGGAGAATAACGACTTGAACCCGATCTGAATCTCATCTCAGTCGGTCCTCCGGTTCTACCTGTCTCGTGCTCGTGTATAAAATATTAAACCCTCCTTATCTTTGGTGTTAAACCCAGGAAGCTTCATTATCCATACTCATGAATTCAGCAGTGAGACTGCAGGCAGATGTCTGTCTCACTCTACGATTTCTAACATATCTACCTGTCTGTCTCTCTGTCTTTCCTTATCTATCTGTCTCTCTACCTGTCTCTCTCTCTCTACCTGTCTCTCTGTCTGTGTCCTCTAGGCTTTGTGCAGAGTAGTCGGCTAGTCTAGCCAGTGAGGACGTCCCGCCACAGGAAGTGATGTAAAGGAAAGGTAACGGCTTTTCATTGGACAGTTAACCTCTGAGATATGTGAGCCAATCAGAGGACAGACTGCTGTCAGTACCTGATGGAGGACTGCGACATCAGCAGGAATTAGACAGATCCCAGAAACAGGTCAAAGACCAGGGATTAGACAGACCCACCTTAATCATTACTCATCATCAGCTCAGATTTTATATTAGTTTGTTTAAATGTGTAACAGAGCTGCAGGATGTAGTACTTTTGTGTTGGTCCCTGAAGGTAGCATCTCCCTGGTCCAATGGGCTTTCTCCATGTGGTTTTGGATAATTGCAGAAAATAATCTGTGTGAAACAAATGTTAATGATATTTACAGTTTAGGGGCAGCAGGATAATCTCCACATATTAACACCACTTTAAGATTTCTGAAAAAAGCTAACTTTAGGCTATAAAGGAACCACAGCACGGTCACATGACTTCACGTCACCACCGCTAAGCTAAAGGCAGCTAATGTTGGGCTATAAAGGAACCACAGCACGGTCACATGACTTCACGATCACCACCGCTAAGCTAAAGGAGGCTAATGTTGGGCTATTAAGGAACTACAGCACGGTCACATGACTTCACGTTACCACCGCTAAGCTAAAGGCTAATATTGGGCTATAAAGGAACTACAGCACGGTCACATAACTTCACGTCACCACCGCTAAGCTAAAGGCTAATGTTGGGCTATAAAGGAACTACAGCACGGTCACATACCTTCACGTCACCACCGCTAAGCTAAAAGAGGCTAATGTTGGGCTATTAAGGAACTACAGCACGGTCACATGACTTCACGTCACCACCGCTAAGCTAAAGGCAGCTAATGTTGGGCTATAAAGGAACCACAGCACGGTCACATGACTTCACGTCACCACCGCTAAGCTAAAGGAGGCTAATGTTGGGCTATTAAGGAACTACAGCACGGTCACATGACTTCACGTTACCACCGCTAAGCTAAAGGCTAATATTGGGCTATAAAGGAACTACAGCACGGTCACATAACTTCACGTCACCACCGCTAAGCTAAAGGCTAATGTTGGGCTATAAAGGAACTACAGCACGGTCACATACCTTCACGTCACCACCGCTAAGCTAAAAGAGGCTAATGTTGGGCTATTAAGGAACTACAGCACGGTCACATGACTTCACGTCACCACCGCTAAGCTAAAGGAGGCTAATGTTGGGCTATAAAGGAACTACAGCACGGTCACATGACTTCACGTCACCACCGCTAAGCTAAAGGAGGCTAATGTTGGGCTATAAAGGAACAACAGCACGGTCACATAACTTCACGTCACCACCGCTAAGCTAAAGGCTAATGTTGGGTTATAAAGGAACTACAGCACGGTCACATGACTTCACGTCACCACCGCTAAGCTAAAGGAGGCTAATGTTGAGCTATAAAGGAACTACAGCACGGTCACATGACTTCACGTCACCACCGCTAAGCTAAAGTCGGCTAATGTTGGGCTATAAAGGAATGACAGCACAGTCACATGACTTCACGTCACCACCGCTAAGCTAAAGGCGACTAATGTTGGGCTATAAATGAACTACAGCACGGTCACATGACTTCACGTCACCACCGCTAAGCTAAAGGCTAATGTTGGGCTATAAAGGAACTACAGCACGCTCACATGACTTCACGTCACCACCGCTAAGCTAAAGGTGGCTAATGTTGGGCTATAAAGGAACTACAGCACGGTCACATGACTTCACGTCACCACCGCTAAGCTAAAGGTGGCTAATGTTGGGCTATAAAGGAACTACAGCACGGTCACATGACTTCACGTCGCTACCGCTAAGCTAAAGGAGGCTAGTTGGGCTATAAAGGAACTACAGCACGGTCACATGACTGCACGTCACCACCGCTAAGCTAAAGGAGGCTAATGCTGGGCTATAAAAGAACTACAGCATGGTCACATGACTTCACGTCACCAGTGGGGTATTTACTGACGTATTTTATGTGGTAGAACAGAACGTTTAAGTCTCTTCAGCTTGTGTTAACCACAGACCTTATTTCAGGATAACAACCAAAAACACATTCAGAAACCATTGACTTCCAAACAGGAAGGGATTACCTGCTGACTCTTGGCAGGGTTTTGGGACTCATTCCTGCAATGTAAAAACACACATTAACGTTTAGTTGAAAAGGATTCTTTATTCACAAACAGCAGAAAACTCTGATTAAATACTAACTTTTTATCTCATTGTGTTTCAGTTTCTGATTCACTGACTAACTGACATGAGATCAGTTTCACCTTTTGAATTCAAACTGAGAAATCTAAATGTAAAAAATGAATGTTAGTAAAACTGTGTTATTGATCAAACATTATGGAGGATGCTTCCTCCGAATAAAGGACTAAAGGATATGTGTGTGATCTGAGGCTTCTGTAGAAACGCTATCAACTCCTTCTCTAGAGATTTCATTTGTTATTGTGTAAATAAATCCTATGCTGCACAGGTGTAGCCCCGCCCCTGTATATCTGCTGACATTAGCCCCACCCCCTGCATACCTGCTGACATTAGCCCCGCCCCCTGTATATCTGCTGAAATGAGCCCCGCCCCCTGTATATCTGCTAACATTAGCCCCACCCCCTGTATATCTGCTGAAATGAGCCCTGCCCCCTGTATACCTGCTGACATTAGCCCCGCCCCCTGTATATCTGCTTAAATTAGCCCCGCCCCCTGTATATCTGCTAACATTAGCCCCGCCCCCTGTATATCTGCTGAAATTAGCCCTGCCCCCTGTATACCTGCTGACATTAGCCCCGCGCCGTGTATACCTGCTGACATTAGCCCCGCCCCCTGTATACCTGCAAACATTAGCCCCTCCCCCTGTATACCTACAAACATTAGCCCCTCCCCCTGCATACCTACAAACATTAGCTCCGCCCCTTTATGCTAACATTAGCCCTGCCCCACACTAACAAGCATGTAATAACCCCACCCCCACATTAAAAGCATGTAATAACCACGCCCCCACATTGATTGCGTGTGTTAGCCCCTCCCACACATTCATTGCATGTGATAGCCCCTCCCACACATTCATTGCGTGTGTTAGCCCCCCTCTATAACTCCTCACATTAGCCCTGCCCCTGTATGCTAACATTACCCCCAACCCACACTAACAAGCATGTATCAGCCTCACCCCCACATAAAGAGGGTGTTAGCTCCCGCCCCCACATAAAGAGGGTGTTAGCCCCGCCCCCACATAAAGAGGATGTTAGCCCCGCCCCCACATAAAGAGGGTGTTAGCCCCACTCCACATAAAGAGGATGTTAGCCCCACCCCCACATTAAGAGGGTGTTAGCCCCGCCCCCACATAAAGAGGGTGTTAGCCCCACCCCCACACAAAGAGGTTCATGGCACGCCCCCACATAAAGAGGGTGTTAGCCCCGCCCCCACATAAAGAGCTTCATGGCCCGTCCCCACATAAAGAGGGTGTTAGCCCCGCCCCCACATAAAGAGGTTCATGGCCCGTCCCCAAATAAAGAGGGTGTTAGCCCCGTCCCCACATAAAGAGGGTGTTAGCCCCGCCTCCACACAAAGAGGGTGTTAGCTCCGTCCCCACATAAAGAGGATTATGGCCCGTCCCCACATAAAGAGGGTGTTAGCCCCGTCCCCACATAAAGAGGTTCATGGCCATCCCCACATAAAGAGGGTGTTAGCTCCGCCCCCACATAAAGAGGGTGTTAGCCCCGCCCCCACACAAAGAGGTTCATGTCCCATCCCCACATAAAGAGGGTGTTAGCCGCGCCCCCACATAAAGAGGGTGTTAGCCCCGTCCCCACATAAAGAGGGTGTTAGCCCCGCCCCCTGCTTGTTGTTAAATATTTTCTGTGATGTTGAGGAGTTACTGATTTTTTATTTGGACCTGAGACTGCTGATCATGCTTTTCTACAACTTCCTGTATGTTAACCTTTCAAAATAAAGTACGCTATGAATGAAACGGGTTAGTTATTTTGATAATTTCTCCCTCAGATTTCTTCACCAGAACATCAGATAAAGGCTCTTTATGACATCACTATGTGCACCAGCAGGAACTACTGGAACGGCTGTGGGAACAATAAAGGATTTCTGATCATGTGTCGTTTAATGAAAATGTGTTATTCCTTCACAATAATACAATACTGATTTATGAACATCCTTCAATGTTCATCATCATTATATATTATTATCATCATAATTATTAGTGTTAACATTATTATTATTGTTATTATTATATCAGTGTTATAACAGGAGATGCTTTGAGACATTATTCATTATTATTCATTATTCTCACGTCTGTCTTCCTGTGACAAAATGTTCCTCATTTCTGCTGAAACTAACAGACTGAGTGTGAACCCTACACACATACACACACACACACACACACACACACACACACACACACACACACTCATGTTTCCATGACGACCTGAGATGAAATGATTAATTTAGGGACATTTTCTGCCTCTGTGTGTTCAGAGAGAGGAAGGGGGGGGGGCTGCTTGGTGCTAACAGGGTTTCTGCTTACAGACCATCAAGACAGCGTACTACCAACCCTTACAATTACACTCTCCAGTACCATTACACTCACCAGTACCATTATACTAACCAGTACCATTACACTAACCAGTACCATTACACTAACCAGCACCATTACACTAACCAGTACCATTATACTCACCAGTACCATTATACTAACCAGTACCATTACACTAACCAGTACCATTACACTAACCACTAACCAGTAGCATTATACTCACCAGTACCATTACACTAACCAGTAGCATTATACTAACCAGTAGCATTATACTCACCAGTACCATTACACTAACCAGTACCATTACACTAACCAGTAGCATTACACTAAGCAGTGCCATTTCCACTAACCAGTAGCATTATACTCACCAGTACCATTATAATAACGGGACCATTATACTCACCAATACCATTACACTAACCAGTACCATTATACTCACCAGTACCATTATACTCACCAGTACCATTATACTCACCAGTACCATTACACTAACCAGTACCATTATACTCACCAGTACCATTACACTAACCAGTGCCATTATACTCACCAGTACCATTACACTAACCAGTACCATTACACTAACCAGAACCATTTCCACTAACCAGTACCATTACACTAAGCAGTGCCATTTCCACTAACCAGTAGCATTATACTCACCAGTACCATTATAATAATGGGACCATTATACTCACCAGTACCATTTCCACTAACCAGAACCATTTATACTAACCAGTGCCATTTATACTAACCAGTGCCATTTATACTAACCAGTGCCATTTATACTAAGCAGTGCCATTACACTAACCAGGACCATTATACTCACCAGTACCATTTCCACTAACCAGAACCATTTATACTAACCAGTGCCATTTATACTCACCAGTACCATTTCCACTAACCAGAACCATTTATACTAACCAGTGCCATTTATACTAACCAGTACCATTATACTAACCAGTGCCATTACACTAAGCAGTGCCATTATACTAACCAGTACCATTTCCACTAACCAGTGCCATTACACTAACCAGTGCCATTACACTAACCAGTGCCATTACACTAACCAGTGCCATTACACTAAGCAGTACCATTTATACTAACCAGTACCATTATACTCACCAGTACCATTACACTAACCAGTACCATTATACTCACCAGTACCATTACACTAACCAGTGCCATTATACTCACCAGTACCATTACACTAACCAGTACCATTACACTAACCAGAACCATTTCCACTAACCAGTACCATTACACTAAGCAGTGCCATTTCCACTAACCAGTAGCATTATACTCACCAGTACCATTATAATAATGGGACCATTATACTCACCAGTACCATTTCCACTAACCAGAACCATTTATACTAACCAGTGCCATTTATACTAACCAGTGCCATTTATACTAACCAGTGCCATTTATACTAAGCAGTGCCATTACACTAACCAGGACCATTATACTCACCAGTACCATTTCCACTAACCAGAACCATTTATACTAACCAGTGCCATTTATACTCACCAGTACCATTTCCACTAACCAGAACCATTTATACTAACCAGTGCCATTTATACTAACCAGTACCATTATACTAACCAGTGCCATTACACTAAGCAGTGCCATTATACTAACCAGTACCATTTCCACTAACCAGTGCCATTACACTAACCAGTGCCATTACACTAACCAGTGCCATTACACTAACCAGTGCCATTACACTAACCAGTGCCATTACACTAAGCAGTACCATTTATACTAACCAGTACCATTACACTAAGCAGTGCCATTATACTAACCAGTACCATTACACTCACCAGTACCATTATACTAACCAGTACCATTACACTCACCAGTACCATTATACTAACCAGTACCATTACACTCACCAGTACCATTATACTAACCAGTACCATTATACTAACCAGTACCATTATACTAACCAGGACCATCTTTACTTCCGTCTTGTTGTTATTTCTGCATCCTTGTGGAACATTGTGGAAGACTAACCTGGAATCAGCTTCATATCGCTGTGGTGACATCAGCTGCTGTGAAGACGCTTGGTGACCATCCTCACACACACACACACACACACACACACACACACACACACACACACACACTCACACTCACACTCACACTCTCTCTCACACACACACACACACACACACACACACACACACACACACACACACACACACACACCAGAGAAGAAAGACAGACAGGAGGGGGGAGGAGGAAGAGCAGGAAGAAGCATATACAACAGACTGTGAGCGGATAGCCTTGAGATAGCCTGCTTAGCAGATAGACTGGTTACAGATAGCCTGGGTACAGATAGACTGGTTACAGATAGCCTGGGTACAGATAGCCTGGTTAAAGACAGCCTGGGTACAGATAGCCTGGGTACAGATAGCCTGGTTAAAGATAGCCTGGGTACAGATAGCCTGGTTACAGATAGCCTGGGTACAGACGGACTGGTTACAGATAGCCTGGGTACAGATAGCCTGGGTACAGATAGCCTGGTTAAAGATAGCCTGGGTACAGATAGCCTGGTTAAAGACAGCCTGGGTACAGACAGCCTGGGTACAGATAGCCTGGTTAAAGATAGCCTGGGTACAGATAGCCTGGTTACAGATAGCCTGGGTACAGATAGCCTGGTGGAGGTGACGGAGGATGGAGTCGGAGGAGAGCCTGCTGAATGTGTTCGTGCTGCTGCTGTTCGGATCTCTGCTCACCGTGGTGAGTACCTTCCTATTCATATATACTCATATCATTCATAGTATATATACTCATATCATTCATAGTATATATACTCATATACTATATCATTCATAGTATATATACTCATATACTATATCATTCATAGTATATATACTCGTATACTATATCATTCATAGTATAATTATACTCTAATGTGTGTGTCATTACACTATATTATAATTATATATCTATATTTACAGTCTTGTGCATTATTTGTATATTTCTAAATGTTTTCAGTCCAGTTATTAATGGTCAATAATTGATGAAAATAGAACATTTATTTTAATATGTTTTTCTCGTGAAACAAACTCCTCGTATTGCTAACCTCACCGTCAATCCCAGCATGCACCTCTGCACCCCCCTGTGTGGGAAGTGGGTGATGTAATGTCCGGTACAGCGCGTCCCAGTGGCTCGTTGAATACTCAACATATTGTGGTTAATGTAATAGAAACATAATGTCTGCTGGTACCATTATTGAAGAAACATGCATCCAGAGAATTAGCCTTTTCTTGGGTGAGCTAGCGTTAGGGTGAGCTAGCGTCAGGGTAAGCGTATTGTGCCTCCTATGTACAAGGTTAACATTGAAAGTGTTGATGATATGTCCCAATGCGTCTCAATGTACATGTTACTCCAGCTGCTTATCAGCTTACTCCACTCAAATGGCACAAAACTCGCGTTCCATGGACAGACGTGTAAAACACTCAAATTACAATAGATGGAGCTCTAGACTAATTTATAACATTTGTAAAAATGTTGTTAAAGGGCCCATGTCATGGCCATTTCCACTGATCATAATTCCATTGTTGAGGTATACTAAAATAGATTTATACTGTGCAATGTTCCAAACTCACATTGGTTTCGCATACAGCATCTCTGTCAAGCATGTGTATTCAGCAGTATTCACTCTCTCCACTAAACGGCTCGTTGGAGCTCTTGCCCCCCCCTCCCTGTGAGCCTAGTGTGCTCCGATTGGTCAGCTCGGCCACTCTGTTCTGATTAGTCAACCACCAGAGAGGCTCCGCCCATGTCTAACAGTGCTTTTCCCGGCTGCTCTCAGCGGAACATCAGTCTTATCATGGCGTCGGTACAGCCGTATATTTTATACGCGAACTAACCGAACTGTACCTACAACTGTTGTTATAGAAGAGTGTGACGGCCCCAGGGCCTTTGTCTTACGATGGGGTGGAGCTGAAGAGGCTAATCAGCGCGATCACGGACACCTGGCCGGAGCCGAGGTGCTAGCCAGCTGCCCGGAGTCACACGGCGGCCCCTCTCTCTCTCCAAAGCGGCTGAGTGATCCCCTCCCCTCGACCACCTATCTCTGCATTTACCACAATAAATGTGCCGTGGTTTTGTAAACTCGTGTATGTCTCCTTGTCTTTCCGTTGTGGCCTACGAGCCGGTCATAACAAAGAGTAAGTTATTTTTACCTGTTATAAACTACTACTGTTTGATGAGAAATCAAATCATGGTTTGCTATATATGAATGATATGCAGCCGGGGCTTTTTAGGCCTCAGTGTGGTAGTCCCGTCCCCGTCATGGATTGTCCGCCAGGATCTGGCTGGACGAAATCAAATGCAAATCACAAAATATTAGAGAAACTTAGTTGTTTTAGATTCGTTAGTAGTAGTTGTGGTAGGAGTGTGGATCTATCTAATCAATCTAATGAACAGCTTGCCAGCTAATATGCTAACCTAGCTTTGTTTACCTTGGTAGCTAACGTTAGCTCGGAGGAACGGCAACTATAATGTAGAGTAATAAAACTACTATGAACAAAAGCTAGTGGTTCATATTAGGCTAGCAATAACGTGTTTATAATTGCAATCTTATACGGGTAGTCTGCTACGTTCGGTCATACATTGTAACGGTCATGAATACATTGTTTTTGCGCTAGCATGTATAGCTAGACTCGTTAGCTATACATGCAGTATGTACATGTACTGTCACAATGTACGGCAAATCACCCGGAGTATACTGTATGAGCTGGGCTTGTTTAGTGTAATAAAACCACTATGAACAAAAGCTAGTGATTCATATTAGGCTAGCAAGAACGTGTTTTCGTAGCATAACACAAATGTTTTTCCGAGCAAACCCATGTAGCTCCGTTGGTTAGATCGGTAGCATACACCCTACGCCAGCTATAATGTAATTACGTTTTGCGACTGACCGTACGGCAAATCACCCGGAGTATACTGTCTATGAGTATTTCGTGTGTGAATGCAGACATTCTCCTGCTATGAGATACATGTATGTAAGGCCATCTGCTGATATTAGAGTTGATATGGAAACGCTAGCAACTTAGTTAGCACAGTTAGCACTGTGTCAATGGCTTAGCAGTCCGACACAGTTTATACATTTAAACAGTCTTGTTTGATAAATACACAAATAACAATGCAAACTTACAGGTTGTGTACCCGAATCTTCCCCTGCTCCAAACGGTCCAAACAAACTAGGAATAGCATCGTCCTTCAGTTTCAAATGCTGTGCATATCCGGCCTCAAACTGGGCAATGTTTTGGAAGCTTTCGTCTGTGAAATGCCGGTTCTTCGAACCTCTGAAGGAACAGTGTTAAACAGAAATGTCAACCACTGACTTCGTGGTGGTTCTTCTGTCGGTAGGACAAACAGCTCCGATTTCTCCTCACATTTCAGGAAACAGGTCCTTGGCATTGGCATGACTGGATCGATTGTGAACTGAACCAGAGCTTCCAACAGTAAATGTTAGGCTGGCAGAGGGTGCGGCCAGCGCCGCTGGGTGTGGCCATAGCTCTTCGGGATTGGTCCATTTCGTTCCGGGTACCGCATGACATCATGCCGTACCCGGAACTAAATGGAAGACTCAAATGGGCAGTGACGTATCTCCAACGAGGCGTTTTGGGGAGGTATTTTCTGTGTTAGAGTTTTACTCGCTACAGGGTGTACTTTGAGGGTTTTGACTCTGCACACCGTTTACATGCATAAAAACCTTCATAACACACAAGGGGACGGGTAATAACCGGAAAAGCATGACATGGGAGCTTTAAGTCTGAAAAACACGCTATTATGGATGATAAATAGGTTAATATGGTAAACAAGGGCGCATGACCCCCAAACTTCGTGGGTGTGTTCCAACGGGTACAAAGTGTAAATATACCAAGTTTGATGGACCTGTGATGTCTGTAAATATTTGAATTAAAATAGTTTAAGCACTAGTATACCCATGTTTTTAACACTTTAGCTGGGTAAACATGTTATCTTTTCAACCTGGGTGTGTGGGACAAGTGAAACCACACTTAAATCCTCCGGAATTAAAACATTATAATCGAGTTTGAGCACTAATATACCCATGTTTTGAACACTGTTGCGGGGTAAACATGTTATCTTTTCACCCTGGGTCTATGGGTCTCTGAGACCCTGCTAACAGCAGTGACTCTGCTGCCTGCATTTAAACAGATTCACCAGTTTATAACATTACTTTAGCCCTGATCAGAGCCATGTTTTCTGCGTAACACAGCGAGGTGCTGTACCCTGGGTCTATGGGTCACTGAGACCCTGCACTTGTGAATCTGTTTAAATGCAGGCAGCAGTGACTCTGCTGCCTGCATTTAAACAGATTCACCAGTTTAAGACTGCATGACAACATGCATCGTAGTTCTGGCACATGTTCAGATTCTGCTATCTCTGCTGAAATAGCACATTGTGAACTACCAGTTTTCATTAAATGACTCTGTCTCCTGAATTAAAACATTTCCCACGACTTTGACCACTAATGTACCCATGATTCAGACACTTATTCCTGGGTAAATATGTTATCTTTTCCCCCTTGGTGTGTGTGACACCATCTGGTGGAACATTTGTGAATTACACTAAAATCCAAAACTTTAATGTTTTTTATCTCAGCGAAATAATGGTTTAATGACCCCAATGTAATGATCATTTATGATTCTGCAGACGTTGTCTACACGTGTATCACAACGGCTTATTTTTAGAGTGATTTAGAAAACTCGTTTAGTAAGGTTTTTTTTTGTCAATATGAGATGCACTGTTTGTATGTCCCATGTACATGTCTGTACATATGGCCTCACGCACTACTAATGGAGGGTTAGGCTATATGTTGATACATTTCCATTTCTACAGCCATAGATAAACAATGCAGGGTTAGGGTTAAATATAGCTTGTTTAATCTGATTTGTGGTGCTGAGTGTTGGACTGAAAAAGGAAGATAGAAACATGAGTCATATTTAACATACATTTAACACATCCTTGGAATTGGACACCTATGAAACACATTTATTACATAATTGCTTTCTTCCTCCATCTCATACTTTAAGATTGTATGTGGATATCTGTCTGCATTCAGAATGTCAAAGCTCTCCAATGACTTTCTGTCTATCAACGACTCTTCTTTAAAATCCAGCTTGTCCTTGTGTTTTGTTGATGAATGAATTCCACTTGATGTTAGCTCTGCAGTGAATCAATGCCCTCTGATGAACAGGTGGGACCCTCAGCCCTGGAGGAGGGCTGGCAGGTGTACAGCTCAGCTCAGGACCCTGAAGGCCGATGTGTGTGTACTGTGGTCGCTCCCCAGAACACCGTCTGCTCCCGGGACGCCCGGACCAAGCAGCTGCGCCTCCTGCTGGACAAGGTATTACATTACATCGCACTTAGCTGAGGCTTCCATCCAAAGCGACTTACAATAAGTGAAATTAACCATAAAGATTCAACTCAGGACGACAACAACCACAGAGCTGCATGTTGACTACAAACAAGCAGTACCACTGTAAGGGTCGCTGCATCAGGAACACTCTAAAGGGCTTTTTATGTTTCATTATTCTCCAAGGTATAAACCTAATGACACTACTGCTGATACAGATACTACTTATAATACTACTGCAGATATTACTTATAATACTACTGATAATACTACTGCAGATATTACTAATGATAATACTACAAATATTACTTATTACACTACGACAAAACACAGGCAGCTAACAAGCAGCAATGGAGTTAAGGTCACCGGCATCATTTAATGATATGGTTAATACCGTATAGCGCAACTAAATAAATGAGATGTTACAGGTGCAAACATACCTTTATCTTTTGAGCGTCTCATCTTCTTCTTTCCTTTTCTTTCTAAACTGGGCACCTGATGCCTTGTGCCTTTTTTTCTCCATCACCGTAGGTAATCATTTTCGACCCAAGAATCAATGCATAGCGTACCCCTCCCCCAACACTGTCAACAGGTCAAGACTTTACTCATTTGCCGTAGTCAGTTTTTAAATAATTCTTTATTGTTTCATACAACCCAGGCCAGGAAGAAAATATATCTGCAAAAATATTTATATTGTATGAATGAATTTTGTGGCATTTCGAGGCGTGAGATTAATTTGACTAACTGCAGTACTACTTTATAAACATCGAAAGTGTTTATTTGATAGAGATAGTGTACCCGCCGCCGCCCTCTCTCTCCCCCATAGTGAGGCGACCTGAGATCCCCCCGCCCTTCTTTCAGTGCAAGACCTTCCATTCCAGCTGCCTGCTATCATAAGGGTGGCCGCGCCCCCTTCGAACCACAACCACAACAACAATACACGATATAAAATTACGTGCAAATTGGCGATAAAAAAATACTTTTCATTGCGCTTGTGCCCCAGTCAAAATGCCACCCTGGGCAACCGCCCATGTTGCCCATATCAATATCCGCCACTGGTTGGTGTCATCCCTACGTTAGTAGTACCAGCAAGAGGAGTATTGGTAGTAGTGTTAGTAGACTACTAACACTACTACTACTACCACTACTACTAGTAGTAGTGGTAGTAGTAGTAGTGGTAGTAGTGTGAGTAGTGTTAGTAGTAGAAGTTGTAATATAGTATGTGTTGTGTTCCAGGTTCAGAATATGAGTCAGTCCATTGAGGTTCTGGATCGGCGGACTCAGAGAGATCTGCAGTTTGTGGAGAAAATGGAGGTTCAGCTGAAGGGTCTGGAAACCAAATTCCAACAGGTGGAGGACGGACACGAGAGCAACTGGGCCAAACAGTACCAGGTACCCTAACCCAAAAAATAAAAAAATCACTTTGCTAGAACAGTGATAATAAAACAATGCTCCATAAGTCAGTGTGCTCAACAACAAAAAAATACATAATACAATTGTGCAATCCCTTTGATAGAACAATAAGTTATAATACTTTGCCACTTTGCAATCTGTGCAACAAAATGAAAAGAAAGAAATGCTGATATTTGGCAGAAAAGTGTGTCTTCTCATTAGTGGCTGCAATGAGCCTGTTTGGCTCTGCAGACTCCTTCAGAACAGGTTGCAGGCTCAGTGCCGGCGCCAGAGATTTATTTTGGGGGTGCTGTGGGGTAGCTTGATGTTTCATAGACCAATAAGCCCGTGCCATACAGTACCAGGTACCCTAACCCAAAACCCCAGAGCCATACAGTACCAGGTACCCTAACCCAAAACCCCAGAGCCATACAGCACCAGGTACCCTAACCCAAAACCCCAGAGCCATACAGTACCAGGTACCCTAACCCCGGGCCAAACAGCACCAGGTACCCTAACCCAAAACCCCAGAGCCATACAGCACCAGGTACCCTAACCCAAAACCCCAGAGCCATACAGTACCAGGTACCCTAACCCCGAGCCATACAGCACCAGGTACCCTAACCCAAAACCCCAGAGCCAAACAGCACCAGGTACCCTAACCCCTGGCCAAACAGCACCAGGTACCCTAACCCAAAACCCCAGAGCCATACAGCACCAGGTACCCTAACCCAAAACCCCAGAGCCATACAGTACCAGGTACCCTAACCCCGAGCCATACAGCACCAGGTACCCTAACCCAAAACCCCAGAGCCATACAGCACCAGGTACCCTAACCCCGGGCCAAACAGCACCAGGTACCCTAACCCAAAACCCCAGAGCCATACAGCACCAGGTACCCTAACCCAAAACCCCAGAGCCATACAGTACCAGGTACCCTAACCCAAAACCCCAGAGCCATACAGTACCAGGTACCCTAACCCAAAACCCCAGAGCCATACAGTACCAGGTACCCTAACCCAAAACCCCAGAGCCATACAGTACCAGGTACCCTAACCCAAAACCCCAGAGCCATACAGTACCAGGTACCCTAACCCAAAACCCCAGGGCCATACAGTACCAGGTACCCTAACCCCGGGCCAAACAGCACCAGGTACCCTAACCCAAAACCCCAGAGCCATACAGCACCAGGTACCCTAACCCAAAACCCCGGAGCCAAACAGCACCAGGTACCCTAACCCCGGGCCAAACAGCACAAGGTACCCTAACCCAAAACCCCAGAGCCATACAGCACCAGGTACCCTAACCCAAAACCCCAGAGCCATACAGTACCAGGTACCCTAACCCAAAACCCCAGAGCCATACAGTACCAGGTACCCTAACCCAAAACCCTAGAGCCATACAGTACCAGGTACCCTAACCCCGGGCCAAACAGCACCAGGTACCCTAACCCAAAACCCTAGAGCCATACAGCACCAGGTACCCTAACCCAAAACCCCAGAGCCATACAGCACCAGGTACCCTAACCCCGGGCCAAACAGCACAAGGTACCCTAACCCAAAACCCCAGAGCCATACAGCACCAGGTACCCTAACCCAAAACCCCAGAGCCATACAGTACCAGGTACCCTAACCCAAAACCCCAGAGCCATACAGTACCAGGTACCCTAACCCAAAACCCCAGAGCCATACAGTACCAGGTACCCTAACCCAAAACCCCAGAGCCATACAATACCAGGTACCCTAACCCAAAACCCTAGAGCCATACAGTACCAGGTACCCTAACCCCGGGCCAAACAGCACCAGGTACCCTAACCAAAACCCCAGAGCCATACAGTACCAGGTACCCTAACCCCGAGCCATACAGCACCAGGTACCCTAACCCAAAACCCCAGAGCCATACAGCACCAGGTACCCTAACCCCGGGCCAAACAGCACCAGGTACCCTAACCCAAAACCCCAGAGCCATACAGCACCAGGTACCCTAACCCAAAACCCCAGAGCCATACAGTACCAGGTACCCTAACCCAAAACCCCAGAGCCATACAGTACCAGGTACCCTAACCCAAAACCCCAGAGCCATACAGTACCAGGTACCCTACCCAAAACCCCAGAGCCATACAGTACCAGGTACCCTAACCCAAAACCCCAGGGCCATACAGTACCAGGTACCCTAACCCAAAACCCCAGGGCCATACAGTACCAGGTACCCTAACCCAAAACCCCAGGGCCATACAGTACCAGGTACCCTAACCCCGGGCCAAACAGCACCAGGTACCCTAACCCAAAACCCCAGAGCCATACAGCACCAGGTACCCTAACCCAAAACCCCGGAGCCAAACAGCACCAGGTACCCTAACCCCGGGCCAAACAGCACAAGGTACCCTAACCCAAAACCCCAGAGCCATACAGCACCAGGTACCCTAACCCAAAACCCCAGAGCCATACAGTACCAGGTACCCTAACCCAAAACCCCAGAGCCATACAGTACCAGGTACCCTAACCCAAAACCCTAGAGCCATACAGTACCAGGTACCCTAACCCCGGGCCAAACAGCACCAGGTACCCTAACCCAAAACCCTAGAGCCATACAGCACCAGGTACCCTAACCCAAAACCCCAGAGCCATACAGCACCAGGTACCCTAACCCCGGGCCAAACAGCACAAGGTACCCTAACCCAAAACCCCAGAGCCATACAGCACCAGGTACCCTAACCCAAAACCCCAGAGCCATACAGTACCAGGTACCCTAACCCAAAACCCCAGAGCCATACAGTACCAGGTACCCTAACCCAAAACCCCAGAGCCATACAGTACCAGGTACCCTAACCCAAAACCCCAGAGCCATACAATACCAGGTACCCTAACCCAAAACCCTAGAGCCATACAGTACCAGGTACCCTAACCCCGGGCCAAACAGCACCAGGTACCCTAACCCAAAACCCCAGAGCCATACAGTACCAGGTACCCTAACCCCGAGCCATACAGCACCAGGTACCCTAACCCAAAACCCCAGAGCCATACAGCACCAGGTACCCTAACCCCGGGCCAAACAGCACCAGGTACCCTAACCCAAAACCCCAGAGCCATACAGCACCAGGTACCCTAACCCAAAACCCCAGAGCCATACAGTACCAGGTACCCTAACCCAAAACCCCAGAGCCATACAGTACCAGGTACCCTAACCCAAAACCCCAGAGCCATACAGTACCAGGTACCCTAACCCAAAACCCCAGAGCCATACAGTACCAGGTACCCTAACCCAAAACCCCAGGGCCATACAGTACCAGGTACCCTAACCCAAAACCCCAGGGCCATACAGTACCAGGTACCCTAACCCAAAACCCCAGGGCCATACAGTACCAGGTACCCTAACCCAAAACCCCAGAGCCATACAGTACCAGGTACCCTAACCCCGGGCCAAACAGCACCAGGTACCCTAACCCAAAACCCCAGAGCCATACAGTACCAGGTACCCTAACCCAAAACCCCAGAGCCATACAGTACCAGGTACCCTAACCCAAAACCCCAGGGCCATACAGTACCAGGTACCCTAACCCAAAACCCCAGGGCCATACAGTACCAGGTACCCTAACCCAAAACCCCAGGGCCATACAGTACCAGGTACCCTAACCCAAAACCCCAGGGCCATACAGTACCAGGTACCCTAACCCCGGGCCAAACAGCACCAGGTACCCTAACCCAAAACCCCAGAGCCAAACAGCACCAGGTACCCTAACCCAAAACCCCAGAGCCATACAGTACCAGGTACCCTAACCCAAAACCCCAGAGCCATACAGCACCAGGTACCCTAACCCAAAACCCCAGAGCCAAACAGCACCAGGTACCCTAACCCAAAACCCCAGAGCCATACAGCACCAGGTACCCTAACCCAAAACCCCAGAGCCATACAGTACCAGGTACCCTAACCCAAAACCCCAGGGCCATACAGTACCAGGTACCCTAACCCAAAACCCCAGGGCCATACAGTACCAGGTACCCTAACCCCGGGCCAAACAGCACCAGGTACCCTAACCCAAAACCCCAGAGCCATACAGCACCAGGTACCCTAACCCAAAACCCCAGAGCCATACAGTACCAGGTACCCTAACCCAAAACCCCAGAGCCATACAGTACCAGGTACCCTAACCCCGGGCCAAACAGCACCAGGTACCCTAACCCAAAACCCCAGGGCCATACAGTACCAGGTACCCTAACCCAAAACCCCAGAGCCATACAGTACCAGGTACCCTAACCCAAAACCCTAGAGCCATACAGTACCAGGTACCCTAACCCCGGGCCACACAGTACCAGGTACCCTAACCCAAAACCCAAGGACCATACAGTACTAGGTTTACATTTTACCGATAATTTGAAACCTTTGAGGTGTGTTAACGTAAAAGAGCACTTTCTTCTTATAACTAATATCCCTGTCAATGTATTAACCCAAACACATGCTCATTGGTCCATTAGATCACAGCGGATCTTAGATTAGAAAAATCAGAAGAAGTGTAATGGTACCCTAAAAGATCCCAGCATGCACCGCATCATGAGCTTTATGAAGACAATAACATGTGAAATATGCACAAGTGCCTAACACTTGATATTTCTTCAATTGTATGGAACTAACTGAAGTGATGGATTGTTGTATCTGTCCTTCATGAATGTACGTGTTGACGCTGAGGCTCTGCGGCTCTGCTAACACACCGCTCCAGCTATGCTATGCTATGTTATGCCATGCTATAACCCAAACCCTTTTGTTGCAGTGAACTATGGGAACATTTACAATGAATGGAGAGTTAACCAACGGTTATTGATCTCCTGTTTGTCCATCAGTCCATCAAAGCTAAGATGGAGGAGTTACGTCCCCTCATCCCGGTCCTGGAGGCCTACAAGGCGGACGCTCTGCTGGTGCGACAGTTTAAGGAGGAGGCGGCGAACGTGACGGAGCTGCTGGGATCGCTGCAGGAGCAGCTGGGAGGTGTTGACTACCAGGAAGTCCACAGCCGAGTCCTGGACCTGGAGGAGCGGCTGAGGGCCTGCATGCAGAGGCTGGGTGAGCAAACACAATACAACCAACAGACCAAAACCCTTCTTCTGGGTAGCTCAGCTGGGTGAGTCCAAACTGGGCAGTCCGAACCGCAGCGGTCCAGTCCGATCCAGGACCCTTCGCAGGTCATCCCTACTCTCCTGCCTGACTCTCAACATCCTGTATTCAGTGATGTCTCAGGAGTCTTTCTCCAGTGTTTCTGAGTCATTACTTTTTCATCATAATCATCTCTTTAGCAAATCATTAGTCCATCATGAATTTCTAATAAACGCGTTGCTAATGAGAACACATCAGTGTGTGCAGCTGTTCATGCCGTCCTGTTGCTTTTCAGCCTGCGGGAAGCTGACAGGAATTTCTGAGCCAGTCACAATCAAGACGTCTGGATCCAGGTTCGGATCGTGGATGACTGACCCGCTGGCCGCAGCTGGAGACAACAGAGTGAGTCCCATCTACAACACAACGTCACAACAACAACAACAACACAACGTCACAACAACAACAACACAACGTCACGAAAAAAACAACACAACGTCAACAACAGAATGTCATACAAAAACAACACAGTGTTACGACAACAACAACACAATGTCACGAAAACAACAACACAATGTCACGACAAAAACAACACAGTGTCACAACAACAACAACACAATGTCACGACAACAACACAACGTCAACGTGTTATTTTTGTGTAGACGTCAGCACTCTCAAATGTCACTGGTGAAGTGGCAGTTACAGTGGCTTCACATTCTTTCCCTCCTTCTGTTTGTGGGGACTCACCGCTCCTTATTCAGTTACTTGGTTCCTGGAGACACAAGTGTAGTTAGTGTGTTATGATGCATGTAATCATTTATCTACCCAAAGGAGGGAAATCGCAGCCTGGAAACTAGAGTCCTTTCTCATTTCTCTAATTCCCCTCCTCGACTCCTATCCTCGTGTCTTAGTCCCGCCCACAGGAGATGCGAGCGGAGGAGTCGAGGAGGGGAACCGAGGAGAGAGGAGGGGAACCGAGGAGAGAGGAGGGAACCGAGGAGAGAGGAGGGGAGCCGAGGAGAGAGGAGGGGAGCCGAGGAGAGAGGAGGGGAAGCAGCAGGCGGTTAGAGAAATGAGAACTCCTCTCCTCTGAGCGGTCATTTTAAAGAGACGTCCATTAATGATGACAGGAGGCACAGCAGCCCTCTGTCTGATGGACAGATGTGTTCATGATGACTTATATATTTACTTTGATTCATTCACAGTGCGGTATAATGAGACAATTACAGGCTACAGATGCAGACATATACACACATATATATATATAGGTATATATATATTTATATAAATATGTACAATTTCAAAAAAGTATGAGCACTCTCATAATAACGTAACACTATCAGAGACTGGATATATCCCCCCCCCCTCTCCCCTCTCTGGTCGCTACAATGAGGAAATGAAATTACGGGCACACTGAAATCCATTTCCGGGTCACTACCGGAGGACCGAGGAGGCGAGGAGGCGAGGAGGCGAGGAGTTGAGGAGTCGAGGAGGGGAAATTAGAGAAATGAGAAAGGCCCAATGTCACGACAATAACAACACAATGTCACAACAACTAAAACGTCACGACAATAACAACACAATGTCACAACAACAACAACAACACAGTGTCACAACAACAACAACACAATGTCACAACACAACAACACACAACGTCAACAACACAATGTCACAACAACAAAAACGTCACGACAATAACAACACAATGTCACAACAACAAAAACGTCACGACAATAACAACACAATGTCACGACAACAACAACAACACAGTGTCACAACAACAACAACCACAATGTCACAACAA